CTTTTAATCATTTTGATCCATGTATTTGATAAGATCATATCTTAATACTTCTAACCGTTGACATGAATATATATAACTATCAACGGAAAGCATAAAACGTGATTTAGTTCATGATGTGAATGGATGTAGATCAAGTCGATAGTTAGGTTCCTTTGACAGTCTAACAACTTCAAGTTTAAATCGTGGTCTTAGACTTTAAAGTTATCTTGTAGTTGGGGACTGTACGGATACACGCAAGTAAGGTTTACTTGAAGTTATAAACAACGAGTGATCATAATGTAAGTGCAAAAACTATGAAGAGGGGGCGAAGGGGAAGGGGGTGTGGTGGGTGGAGGTCTTCATTCAAAGTTAAATGCTGTGTGAATGCAATTAACTGCTGAGGTGATGCCAGCTCATAGTTGAAATGACTGCTTGCCTGGCTTACAGTTCAAAACTTTGAATTCTTGTTGTTTTGGGCCCACATTAACCCACATAGTAGGTAGTGAATCATTGTTTATAACTTGTTGAGGTTTTGCAAACTTGAAGTTTAAAGATAAAGTTGAGTTCTGGTAACGCAATTGCATTGTGAAAGAACAGGTGTAGAATGGATCCGAAAAATTTAATCATGAAGCATAAAAGTATTGGTGTGTACTGCAAGGTTCTGGAGTCATCATCAAAATCATAATACATTTGGCCCAGTCTTGGTAAAGTAACAAGCACTGTACACAGAAAGATGTATATGGGACTACACAAATGGTGTCGGGCCTACTTGCCTTGATGTCCTTATCTTTCTATGCTCATTACTCAGTCAGTATACATTTTCTACCAAAATTGTTTGGCAAATGACATTTATTTGTAACATTGAACATTCGGTGTAAGTTTTGTTTGATTCTGTGAGAATTCATTTTCTTTTTTTATTAGAACTCAAGTTTATCTTTAAAACCATGGCAGTCTCGTGTTAACCTGACTTATATAACGGCTTGAGGCGGGTTAATAGGGTGACATTTCTGAGCCTCAATTAATGGTGTGGATAGATCAGAACTGTCAATGTCCGCTCCTATAATAATTCATCACAGACGGACCCCATCTTCTCTCTCTACCCTTTGAGAGCTGGTCAGATTGAGTTGAATCATTTCAACTGTCCTTTTATTTTATGCTTTACCAATTTCATGTGGAGTAAGTGAGCTCTGGAGTTCTTTGGGCACCAGGTCAAACATTTCATAGAACAGTCATAGATGGAGCATCAAATTATTATTGTTATTAATATCATTATTATTTATTTGACCAATTTTAAAACATACATTGAGTATAACAATCAGATAATACATAGAAATTTCATAATACATGCAAACAGATTTAGGGAAGTTGGCAGGAGGAGGGAAAGAAGGATACAATCTACCGGTCATGGGTGACAAAAGCAATTGAAATTAGACTCTATTCTGTCAGCTAAGATGAATTGTTTTTGAAATGATGATTTATTTTGTCAATATTAAAAGTGTTCAACACTTGCATCCCAATTGTTGGCAATATTATTACAGTTGACAGTGCCAAACACTTACATGACATATTTGCTGTATCATGTGTGTGAAATACATACATATAGTAGAAATCATGGCATAAAGCTAAAATAAGTGAAATTTAAATTTGGTTAGTAAAGCATTTGAGTTGGTGTTTGTTTGAATGGCATTCTGCTGCACATTTAACTTTAAATTACTTTTTTCCTCTTTTCTTGCTAGCAAATAGCAAACTTGTAGTCTGTCTCTTTGTCTCTCTCTCTCTCTTTCTCTGTCTCTCTCTCTTTCTTCCTATGGTCATATTTTGTCTTTTTGTATTGTGCAAAGAATTTTACCAGATCATTTTCTTGAAATACAAGCTTTGTGCAATTTTGTATATACTTTCTGATTTGTAACATGCCTTTTCAAGGCTTTATAACCTCTTTGGCTGATAGTTTTTATTTATTTGATTTGATAAATGTATTTTCTGATGGCTTTCAATAACTGCAATATTCCAGAAGCAGTCAGGTTACTGCATTGTATGCGTTCAGGCAGTCCTGTGTACAATAACTACATCAATATGCGAGCAGATTTGATGTTGCCATACCAGTTGATCTCATCAAGATGGCTGTTATTTATTGCTCTGACTATGATATAAAACCATCAGTTTTCTCTCTAAATTGGCACTCTACTAGATGGCATTTTTGTTTTTCATCGCATAGGATATGACCAGAGAAAACAGGATCACGTAAAGAATCTTGCAATAAATATATTGTCTAGAAGAAAACTTTGTTACTAATGACATTTAGCTTTACAACACAGAGTATCGTAAAGATAGGGCAGTATTTTTGTAAACGTTAATTCAAAATGTGCATTGGCTGATTACTAATTGTCCAGTTGCAATGAGAGTTTTGCTGGAAACCCCTCTCAGTCATCAGTCCACCAAATGTATCTGCCCTCATCCTGCATCTGTGAAGATCTTACTCACAAGGGTTATGACGACCTTGTACTCTCCTAGACCTCGCTAATGATGACTTGATCTCTGTCAAATCTCTTTCTCCTTGCAATCCATTTTAATAGGAGTTACAGTGCCTTTCATGCATTCCATATTTCATTTTAAGCTTAAAGGTACTCACTATCAAAATCACATCCCTCCCCAGCTGTTTTGTAGGTTAACATCTACCATAGATCATGGATAATGAAGGTTCTGATACCTTCTGACTATTTCAAGTTCTTGAGCTTGGAATTGAGAACAGATTCTTCATTTACAGAGTTAGATATCAATGAACACTGATGTTATCAAAAAAGATTATCAAAAATATAATTAATGATTACAAAATAGTTGCTACAAAATCAGCTCAAGCACAATCTCGATATCTTTTATATTGCCTTTTGGAATGATGTATGAATTGTGTATTAAAGATGTCATTGTAATGATTGCACATTGCTAATTGTGACGCACAAAACTGTTGAATTTGCCTTAGGTTTTGTTGTTGTTGAAAGTCCGCAATATTTTACAAACTTTAATTTACAATATTTTAGTCGCGATGCATGTTTGTGAGCTTTGTGGCAAAGTAAGACTTAGAGCAATGTGTTGAACCTACTAGCATCACGTGTACCTGCAATGGCTAGATACAATGCAGACATTGAAGGTGATTTGATGTAGTCCAGACTCTAGTAGCAATCATAAGATGGGAAGGGGCTGGCCTCTTGATGCCAGTAATTAAACTGTGGCGGTCAAATGTCATCCCTTGAAATAGCTCCCAAGCCATGACTTCTACTTCACTCCTAGTCTTTATCTTCACACTTTTTGAAATATTAAGTCTTTGCATGCTCTTTCATTGTGTCTGTTATGAGAGTAATGTGAATTTCATGAAGTGTGAAACTTTTTTCATTTGTCAAAATGTTACTTTGTACTTGAGTTTAGTTAGCTTCTTTGGTTTTTCATTCTGTCTTCTTTATAAATTGACAACTGTAGTCAATCTTTCATCTCTACATAAAAGGTGTTTTATTATATTTTGTAAGGAATTATGGCCTTTATTGTATTGATTTGTAAATAGAGATTCAGAAGCCTTTCCTGACGCCCCAAAAGGATATGCAGTATTGAAATATAGATGGTAGGAAGATGTATGACCTTTTCAAAATAATGTTTGTCTGTGACTCACATGATTTTTTAACATTATTCTGTTACAAAATTTCCTTTGGTTTCAGTAATATCATTTTTGATGTGAAGCAGCCCCTATGTGGACTAGATATGACCTTTCCTTTCAGACTGCTAGCCATATAGTAGTCAACTATGGCACAGTGACTGTTTTGAAAACTACCTTGCCAAAAGACATCTCAACATGAATAATGACATTATTTCTTCTGTCATATTAAAAGTCATCCATGTTTACCATCATTCCAGTTTACTAGGAATGTCTTATACACTAGCACAACAGACAGCCATTTAATGTCTAAAATGTTTGGGGTTCTATAATTTCTGTCCCATAAATCAACAAGCAAGCTACCTTTAAATGTCTCATCTCAGACAGCGCATAGTCTACGCTGCCTCATAAATCTTACCTCTACACTTCTAGTTTGCTATCGTGATGTTTGCATTGGAAAGCTATTTTCATTTCGAGATTTGTGAACAGATTTATCATTGCCCAATTTCCCAACAAACTCTTAGCCCATTCACCGGCTTTTCCAGAATCTTGTTTGTCGTCTTTCACATCCATGGCCAAAGGCGGTTTGTGTTTGTAATGAAGCAACTTAAGGCTGAAGCAAAAAAAAATCCAATTTGTCTGTACACTGCATAGTTAAACATTGTGATTTATCTCCTGAGTTTTCTTTCCTTATATAGAGAGATGTACTTTTTCTTTAATCTGTTAGATCAGCTCTGTGTGCATTTGAAACAAGACTTTCTTCACTATGGCATGGTTCCCTTATGAAGTCATTTGGTGTGGTCCAGAGTAATGTATCTCCTGTTAGGAACCAGAAGGGTATTAACTCATATCAATGTATATCTAATTAATGTCCTGCTAGTTCTGAAAAGATATGCAGGATTGTTTTCATCCTGTTTTCTTTTGAAAATTTCTGATTTTGAGAGCTATTTTGGGGTTTGTAATTTCATATTCACCTGAAACCCTGTTAATGTTAACAAAACATGCAAACATTTAGCTTTCACAGCTAGTCACAATGAGACCATGTATGAAAAAGAAGATCACAGCATAATTTGTTTGTACATAGGAAAAGAAGATGTATCTCTGAGATCATAAATCTCAAAGATTTGGAGAGGATGTGATAGTAAAAAATAGAACTAGAATGAACTTGCAATTGCTCAAAATGGGTTTGTAGACCAGTAGAGCTGCCTATTACTGCTAACTTTTCCATCATGAATATCTGATCCGCTGTGGATGCACCTCTGAAACATATAGTTCATTCTTATTTTATTCACTTATTCCTCCATTTGTTTAGATACACCAAAGGAAAATAAAATCCATAACAACTCCTTGTTCTTGTATTTTATCTCATATTCTATTTCAGACACACCTTAACTATCCCCAGTGCCTTGCCCGAGGATAAAGGCTTATACATCGTTAGGGCTGTTAACACTGGAGGAGTGGTCCATTGTGGAGCTGATGTCATAGTAGAAGAGAAGTCACCGGAGGAAATTGAGACCGAAGAGACAGAGATACCTGAAGAGGAGAGTGCGACAAACAAAGGTACATCAATTTTATTTTCTTCATCTGATCGGTAAAGCACCATATGCTCCAGGGTTTCTTACATTAAACATCAGGGGTAGGTTTTAGATGATGTTTGTGGTTAAGGTTACGTATAGTCCACTTCCTGGACTATTCTTAATTAGTACACCCTTGTGACGTGCAAGCCCGCTCACGCACTAGCTTTATGTACAACTGAAATATGCATGCATGCGGGTAGGTGAATTAGGGGCATGGTAAATTTGTTGGATGAGCACGTGTACACGCAACCACAGATAAAATCTTTGAAATGTCCATAATCTGGTCCAGGTAAGATATATTTTTTAGTTTAGGGGTAAAGTTAGGGGTTGAGTTAGTGTAGAAACTTGACCACAAAGCAATTGTCTCTGGAGCATGTGTGGTATAAGCACTCAGTGGTTTTGACAGTATAACCAGCATGTAGGATCGATGACTTTTACTGAGTGGGGCCCTTGCTATGAAAGTTGTGGTCTGATCAAATTACAATTAAAAGAAATTATTGTACTGCTAACATATAGCCCATATGCCTATGTGTTAGAGGGAAAAGCTTGACTCTGATCAGCCAACTATAATCTAAGTTCTAACCTGTTGGTCCACACTAGAAAGCTGGGTAGTTAATGACAAATTAGAACCCACCTAAATCTAATTTTCTCCAATTTCTTGGGAAAAAATGAAAATATGTGACTTCAAATATGCTCAGAAAATCTTCTTCTACATTACATTGTTGGTGTTGATGGTCTGTTATTGTCTGCTGAGAACCAGAAGGATGTTGAATCTATACTCTTCAAACTCTCTCTGTATGAGGTGGTGCCTAAGTTCAATAACAAATGAACTATGGAAATTAATATGCTTTTCGGTTAATTAGTTTACACAATCTTTATTACTTCTCATGTGCTCTCTTTGTCCTTTCATTTCTTAGTTTTTATTTTTGTGGTTGTTTTTGAAGGAGACATCGTGATCACACCCACCACCGGGCAAAGTTCAAACAAGACCATGGCTGCGACTAAATCAGACAAGATGCAACCACCATGGTGAGATATCAAACAAACAATAATGTTTCCCTTGAAACTTAGGCCACCATCATAAAAAATTGGTCTGTTTAATATCAATTTATGTATTTTATATTATGCAGTAGCATGATTTATCTTGATAAGTAATAATGAAACTTCCTGTACTTTTTGTGTTTGTGTAAAGAACAACATTCCTATGAAAGGTATATTAGAGGTTATTTTTAATTCTGATTTGTTAAATACAGTAAAGTAAAGAATGAGTGTAACTTGTTTTTAATCTCTAGCTTTATGGAAAAACAATTAAAAATGAAATGAATTCAGTTTCTGAATTTGATCAAGTGTGAGTAAAAATCAATATTAATAATAATAGTGGAGTCTCATAAAGCACTCATATCTGGCACATTGTCACTCCTGGCGCTCCATTATTATTACCTCGGCTTTAGCACAGCAGCCATTGCACCACTCAGACATTCCTGCCGGGTACCCTTTTACCTTACCCGGGTGGAGTGTGGGAAATGTAGATTAATATCTTTTCAAAGGACATTAGTGCTGTGACAGGGATTCACAGTCTGGAGACTTATCACCACAACACCTTGCTATCAGGGATGGCAATACCTTTGATATATCTGCTTTTGTATAGCTGCCCTTTGGAAATCATTTTTGTACAGCTATTAGTAGGCAATCAGTAGCCAGGCAGGATCTACCTTTAAACCTTTATAGCAGAAACTATGATCTTCATGTACCATTGGAGAGAAAGCTGAAGCTTGTTTTTTCAGTCAAGAAACCTTCATTCATTGCACCCTATCTCTATCAATAATTATGAGTTGGAGAAGTTTCAATCGCATATGAAAACAGTCATGTCACTTTAAGAGGTGTAGTGTTAGCACCATTAAGAGAGCACACACACCTCCTAAATGTAACAGGCTTTCTAAATTGGTGTTGCTGCATATGTTGAAGTCATTAGGATGACGTGAGCTGTGAGCCAAGCCTTACCTAGCCTGGTTGCATGATGAGCTTGCATACCGGTGGAAAGGGCGGGCTCCCAGCCTGCAGTGATGGGCCAAGCTCTAGTATTGATTTACACATGTATGAATTAATAGTTCATCATCACGTTAAAGGCCTGGTTCTCAACTTTTGCAGTGATTTGGAGTATGCTTTTTTTTTGCTGTTCTTCTTGGAAGAAATGTGTAGTGGCGCTTTCACATTGCAATGAGATGGGACGTTTACCTTATATGAATGTTGTTTGTTTGTTTCTCATGTGAAGCAGACCTACTCTTGATCTTTTGTGGAAAAATAAATGTTGTAAAGACAATAACCTCTCAAATTTAGCTTGGGCATGTACTTTCTCTTCTGCTCTTATTCACCTTTTTAAAGCCTTTTTAGCTTTACAAAAAAAAATTTATATTAAAAACTGACACATAGACTTTCAGTTTGATAGAGTATAAAAGATTCATTTAAAGAAATGGATCTATATGTTATAAATATTCCAATTATTACTATGCTATGAAATATCTAATATCCATTCATTATTGGGAAAGGTCTTAGAATTAGAGCATCTCAAAAGTCCATTATGTTAGGGCATCAATCCTCCATTAGTATTAAAGTCTCTCATAAAAAGTGTTAAAAGCTCCTGGAACATTCTTACAAGTATATAATATCTTAATTGGCACTACCATTCCATGAACAAGCAATAATCAGCAAACTTGAATAATTAATGATGATGATATTTTTGTAGCACATACTATATCTAATATTTCCTATGCATTTTAAAAAGAGAACAAGAAAAGAGAGGAGAGGGAAAGAGAAACAAAAGAGAAGAGTGAGCTGTGCTCAGCATTTCCCCTTTTGTCACCAATTAATATTGCAAAGTGTTTCTAACTTTGGTTTTCTGAACAGAAATGTTTTAATTGGAATATGAGAATTCACATCCAATCCTTGATCCTGTTATCCCCGTAATGTCAGTGCAATTTTATAATTATGCATTATCTGAATAAAGGTTAGTCATTGTGTGTTTTCAGTTTTTAGTTGGTTATTTTTTTAAAATAATTTGGGGCTAATAAAAAGAATAATTTAAACAAGCAAGCAAAGAAACAAACAAACAACAAAGAAAATCACCCTTTTTTCAATGAAAGGTATTGTAGGGGACATTGTAAGATCAGAAGGTCTACATAGATGTTTACTAAACACCACTCTGTTTTGGTTCCTACCATGAACTACTGTAGGCTATACATCGTAAAGATGTCAGTTTCTGAGAAGTTAAATGAAAGAGGAAACAAATCAAACGTGTCCTCCTAGTCTTGACCTTAATCAAGATTTGTCCTTTAATTATGTCATTGCATAGCTTACTGGTATGTGGCTTGCTGCCAAGTGAGGTGTAGTTTAAGTTCACAGACTTCAGTCAATTACAATAGTATCAAATGTCATCCAATGCATAATAATAATAATAATAATCTGGATTTACGTGTATATATATATATATATAGCACTTAATAGGAAATATCATTCATTGTATTCTTTAATGAACAATGTACACTGTCTCCACTTCCTGGGGATTATTCCTGCCACATGGTCACCATGAGGGCATGTGGCAATTACTAAGACTAAGGCTTTTGTCATCCTACCAGGTCCCCATTTCTCTCTTGGGAATGGAGTGGCAAATGTAGATTAATGCCTTGCCAAAGGACATTAGTGCCGTGTAGGGAATTGAACTCAAAACCTCTGCATTATAAGTCAAGTGCTTAAACCACTCTACTACGACACCTCTACATTAACATTAATTAAAGACGCAATGCTTTAATGACTTCAAAGTATTTTAGTTTTACTTGTAAATGCTAGATTAAGTCATAAATAACACAGATGATATGACCATAATCTTGTAATATTAGTTCATAATCAAGATCTACATACACTACAGATTTAAACAAAGCTTTCAGATTTTAACAATGCTTGATGTTTGTAAATGTGTACTTTGTAGTTACTAAGGTTTACTTTACCCAATTTGAACAATTCATTTTAATGTATAATCTTGAAATGAACTTAAAAAACTTTAGAAGCAAAATTAGTATCCTAAATTTTGGGACTAATAGTAATCTGTAAATTGTTTTGAAAATTTTGGTAAAGTATCATAATTTGTATTCATTCAAGTAAGCTAATGTAAGCTAATACTTTCCAACTCTCTTTAACTTTTTTTTGATTAAATGTCACAATGATGGTGGTGATATGAGAGTTTTTAAAAAGTATGATGTCATAGACTATCATTGCCATGTGTAACTTGGTACAGACCTACTGTATTACCTTGCCCTTCTCAGAGTGTTGCCCATATTCTGATTCTGTCAAACCTTCTTGTTGCCCTGGGCTTTTGGAAGTGTCTGGGCTGCCACTATCCACTACTATGTTAAAGCTCTATCATTAAATATATCCTTAAAAAATGTTAACATTCTTAAATTATGTTGAATTTGAGTCTAATTTTGGATGTTAAAATTATAGTTTCAAAAGTATTGGTGAATTCAATTTTGGTTACAAACTGATCAATCCTTTATGGATGATTTACGTTTTACCTTCATTAAATATTATTCGAAATATAATTCAAAACATAAAATACACAGTTTACACTTTGGATGCTTCACTTCTCTGCCCAATGGCTTGTTTGTCACGCTTGCAATTAGGCACAAAACAATAGGCACCAATTGACAGAAGGATTGCTTTTTGCAGCACAATGGTTATTAACAATTTCTAGTCTTTAAGAGCTCTATGACAAACCTTTTAACACTGGTATAGATAATCTTTTAATGGACACATTTTATGAGTCTTGAAGCTTTAGGTATATCTGTCCTACTATAAATACAATGTAGAACAGGGAGATTATAATGTGATAAATAAAGAGTCAAGAACAAAATTAGCTAGGAAACGGCTGACACGTATAGTTGTAATATTGCTCAAACAAAGTTTCATAAACTTGAGTACGTTGTAAAAGTTTATCTTGAGTTATGGTAATGACAATGCATAACAATTAAAAAAACTTGCACATAGTAATTTCAAATTGTCTATTAGTAGATTTGTAATTTATACCATTCTGTTATTAACAAACTAATATAATCTAAAATAATTAACAACTGCTGGAAAGGGATCCCTTGTGTAAGATGCTATGTTATGCATGTGGTCAGAAATACCAACTGGATTTCTTCACCTTTCTTTGCTTTTTACTTTAATATTATACATTTTCTACCAAATTTGTTTGTCCTATATCATGTAGTGTAATCTTAATTATTATCAATTAATATTGATTGACACCCCTGCAATTTGGATTGTTATATGATTAACTGATGTGCATCATTAACTCTTTGTGTAAGGGAACTGGTGGTTCTTATATTAAGCCAAGCAAATTCAGCAAATTCAGCAAATTCAGCAAATTCAGCACTCCCCAGATGAAGAGTGGAGCTTAATATTATTTGCTTAAAATGTTCTGGCTTTGCACATTTCTAGTACCTAGCAATTGGATAACTATGTTTTTTTTCTTAAAAAGCTCATTTCATTTAACCTACTGACTTCCTGGAAGGCTTAATTTAGGGAGGCTCTTGTATACCATTGGCAGATAGAAACCACTCCAAAAAACAAAATCATTTTGAAAAGAAAATCTGCAGGATTGGAGATTGCTTCAGTTGATTTCTTTTGAATGTTTTGTTCTTGAGCCTTTGATTAAATGTTGTGTTTTACTATCAATATCATTACCATAGATCTAGATTATGTTTGATAAATAATTGTTAATTTATTTCTCCAAATTTAATATATTTAATTTCCAGGACCACAGCATCAAATGATAACATTTATTCATAACGAACGCACAAAAAATGATGATGATAATAACAATACAAAAAAGATAAACATTGAAATTTAAAAAAATTATAATAACATCCAATGCGTGGATTGCCTAAAAGTAATATCGATTTTTGTTTAACGGCTCTCATTATTGGTTGTTGTTTAAAGATAAAGTTACCCTCCAATGAAAATACGTTCAGAAAATA